CAAACTTTTATTTCGTTCGGACCTGGCGGACAGTCCGTTCTGGACTTCTGGTCCGTCCGTTCCAGACACTTCCGTCTTGGTTTTTTCGTCGTTTTCTCGTGCGTTTTGTCCTTCCCTGCGTGTGTGACCCTGTAGGCTCATTTGATATAGCAGTATAACCCGAAATCTCTATTTCGGATATACAAGTCACGCTCGACTGGCATTGCACGAGCAAACTACAAACATGGCATACAAAGTGCATCCGCATTCCCCCGCTACAATCACGCATATCATGGTATTCCGTCTCAAATCGACCTACCGGTCAATGCCATACAATGCTATCCCCGGTGAGAAAACACACAACGAGTCTCTCGAAAGTTGGATCACACATTCCACCGCGCGTGTTAACTCGAAAATTCTCCAAAGAGTGAGTTCTACATCATGGACCGGTCGGTCCAGGCTGACGTTGGCCTTCAGTTCGTCCATTCTGTCTCGGTCAGTTCGGGTGGACCGTTCGGTCTGAAACTCAGTCCGGCCGGACTGGAACTGTCAGTCTGTTCGGACTGGGACAGTCAATCCGTCAGGTCTGGCAGCCAGTTCGTCCGGACTGTGTTATGCATTTCTTCGCAAAACACCTTTCTGGTCCAAATTACGTACCGTTTGTTGCTAAATGTTCATTGAAATATCCTCTTAAAATTAAAATTAACCAATAATTGAAATACTGCAGTTACATGGTGGGAAAACGATTTGTATTGCCTGTATATAGACAGCTTCACGCTTCTGCGTTTTCCAGTTTTTCTTCTGTTTTCAATCGTTCATATCTCATTCATTTCTCCACCAAATTATGTCATGTTTTTGCTAAATATTCGTTGCAATGTCCTCTATCAAATCAAAGAGCAAATCACCGAGATAACACAATCACATCAATGAAAATGAGCGTACACACACGCAACTCAAGCCACTCACCATTGCTCAGATTCGAATCTGATTTCGGCCGGAGTCGGTGGCGGTTTCCGGTGATTCAAACCTCGTAAATCCTTCCAGACATTCTAGGATTGTCCCTCTTTGTTTCCCCGAGCTTCTTTCCTCTCCTCTCCCTCTCTTTCTCTTCCTCTCTTCTCTTTTCTCTCCCTTCTCCTTCTGCTCTCTTCTGTAGAGAATGGTTGGAATCCTTCTTTCCTAGGGTTTTCGACCGAGAAAGAGGGTGAAAATGGGCTCAAGCCCAGGCCCATTACGAAGCTTGCATTGAGGAGAATCCGGCGGTGGTCGCGACGCGCCATTTGGTGGCCCACGTGCAGAGCAATGTGTAGTGGAAGTCTGCACCTCGCGTTGGATCGCACTGTGTTTTGTCGGGGTGGACTTTGTGTAGCCCGTCCGGACTGCTTTTATGGTCCATCCGGACTGTCTTTCTGGTCCGTTCGGACTGCCTTTCTGGTTTGTTCGGACTGACTTGCATAGTCTGTTTTCGATTGCTCCATTCTCACTCGTTTCTTAACCAAATCGTGCACCGTTTGTTTCTAAATCTTCATTGCGATGTTCTCTTTCATATCCAAGTGATAGGTTATTGAAAACCCATGTTCACACGATGCAAACTGATTCGCAACTCCTGTACTTCATACAAATTCTCGATTTTGCAAATTTCAGTTTCTCCTGAATTTTCGTTCGTTCATATCTTTCTCATTTCTCAACCAAATCAAGTGTCGTTTGTTTTCAGATCTACTTGGAAACGTCCTCTTTCAAGTCATGCAAAAAGCATTGAGATATTATGGTCACAAGATGAAAACAAGAGGATATAGAGGCAACTCACATTAGTTCTCTATGTTTTTAGGCTTGTTTTACCATTCATTTATTTCCGAAAGTAATTTAAATAATTCATTGGGGAATCATTGTATTACAGTCTACATTCCACCCATCCTGCTTTTATCTTTTGACTAACATCTTCGTCACAACCCCCATCCTTTTGAAAGATTGAACCAATATTAAAAATGCGGGTTTTGAGGTACTGATACTCCTTATAAGTTAACTCCTAATATTTTTAACTCTGAATTATATAATGAGCATCATAATATTTAAGTTATATAGTCTCACAATAGTTGATTTTCGATTGCAATGATCTATGATGTCGTAAATCTAGGTGTATAAATTCGATTAAGTAATAAAGTCCTAGACTCAAGAAATTCCGCAAATTCGTGTATAATAGTTAGAGTCGACCGCAGGGACACTAGTAAACAAATAAATCAAATCCAAATCCAATTCAAGATGAAGTAATATGAGTGTGATGAAAAGAATATTAAAAGCAAATAACGAAAGCGATTGTATACAATCAATAGCAAACACTGCAGGTTTCGCGATTTGCTTTACATGTAAGGATCTTCTCTAAAGATACATATTTTGTGGTTTATAAATCCAATTCGGAGAATTCAAGCTCTAATATAGAAATTAACTCTCTCGAGTCTAATATCACTATCCAGATTTTATCCTATTAATCTCTCGATTCAATAGTCTAAACTCTGTATCCATGAACGGTCGTTGTCATAATCTCTAGGAAAATATTCATCTCTCGATGCGATACCTATTCTATTTATTGAGTTATTTCTAGATTAAAATCTCATATATCTATGCGAATTAAAATCCTAGGTTTATTCAATCAAGTGGCCAACAAGATCAAATGCATTAAGAACAACTCAATACACCGAATAAAATAAATAAATTCACATGGAATTAAAAACCAAAGATCTCTGTATTGCAAATCCCTAACCTACATCAAAAGAACTACTAGCTAAATATCGAGACGTCATGGTTCATATCAATACAACAAAACAACATAAAATAAAAAAACGAAGAAACTCTTAGTCGATTTCTCGGTTTCTGATCTTCGTCTTCTACTCCGATCTCTTCCTTCTCGATCCCCTTTTTGTGTGCTATTGGTTTATTTTCTGTCTAAAGTCTGAATGAACTTCGACCTAGAAGATTTCTCTTTTTTTTTCTCCCCTTCGTCTTGGGCAAAATTGGAATATTTCTAAAAGTTCACACACGAACCGATCATTTCACACATACGTGAACCGATCGGTTCTGATTTATGAGCAAACATCTAATTTTCCATGAAATGAAACGATCATTTCGTACTATGTGACGCGATTGCTCCGGTCTTCTGGTCATTGAACCGATCGGTTTAACTATATTGAAGTCGTTACGTGAATTGAAAGATCGATAAAATATTCGGTTTAAACCGGACTATGTGCCCTTCATAATGAGCTTGACTTTCCGAATTTATTCAGGTTGAATCTCTAGGTTATGATCCCAAAAGTGGTCCTTAAGGTTTTTAGGATCGAAAAATAATTTTCCGCCAATCAATTGCGGAAAATTCTTAAAAATTCTTTTCACGGTTTAACGTATTTTTCCACATTGGGTCAATCATGATGAACCAACTTCTAAAAATGGACTATATACGTTAAGTGCCTCACAATGTTACGGACCTTTTTACGTTGCAGTAGATAGAAATGCCAAATTAGATTAATATAAAATATCATAAAGTCATTATTATTATTATTACAAAACCGAAGTCTCCGAGCAAAAAGACCCCAATTCTGTTTACATTATGTATTATGGTCATATATTACTATCTGCAAATCTCTAAACCGAAATACTGTTCGGTATTCCCTTTCCTGTCATACCACCTTCCCTTGTGTAATCCGATGTGTTTGGGTATAACAAAGTGTACGGCATCTTAACCGGACCAAGCCGATTCTTCAAGCTCTTGATGTTGTTCCTCCTAACGATGTTGTTCTCGATCTGCTCAAGCCTCTCGGTGAATCTTCTAGACATAGCCAAAACCTCATCATCAGCAGTCCAATTCGGAGATTCCCTCTGTCCCAAATAAAGCTCATCCGTTGAATGCATAGACAAAACTTCAATGATAGAGATCCCAAGTAGTGTCTGCAACTGTGGAGTGATCGTCTTCAAGTATGCGACATCAGGGTCTTTCTTTAATTCTTCATACTCTTTTGTACCAGATTCAGGCATGAACCGACGACTAACCGTTGGCCGATTAGGGAGAAAACCAGCATAAGGATACTGACCGAAATTAACGGTAGCATGAAGAGCAGAAGCAATCCAGATGATGATTGAGCATGTTTGGATGAGTTCGGACCGAGATTGCATTTTCGGCCACCAAGGCTCATGTTTCTTGTCACCATGGCCCACATTTCGAAGTTCAGACCACCATGATTGAAGCTCAATGTCAGTCTGGATAGTTTTGTCCGTTTTGTAATAGTACGAGCAGTACTCAGTCACCCACGTCTCAATGGCAGACCAGATCTCTAACCCATCAACAGCATAAGGGTAATCCTCGATCAAAAGTCGAACACCGCCATCGCAGCTTGGATCCAGAACGGCCACTCCTCTGCAAATGTAGCCCGAGAAAATTATCGATAGACTATCTAGACATACGGAAATAAAAGTACTAAGAATAAAAAAGTGTACCTTTTTAGAAGATCAGCAGGCAAAGCCTGATCGGTGAAAACCCAATTCCGGTAAAGTGAAGAAGACCACTCCATGGAGTACTTTCCCGGGAACACAGTCCTTTCGAGCACACCATCCGCATTTATAAGGATATGACGAGCCAAAGCATTTATTTGCATTGTGTCACGAAAATGAGGATGCAAAAGCTTATAAATCGGATGAATCACACTCAGTTGCCTATTTGCTGAGATAATGAACGGTTCCATAGTAGCATGGGTGTGCAACCTGCGAAAAAATCGATCATTACAAACAATCAAAACCAAGACTTTAGGATATAGTCACATTTCAGAACTAGATCGATTGAATATCTACCAATGGCTGATAAGTTGATGAAAACCAGAATCGTTGATCGCAACGTAAGCCTTAGCAAGCTGCCAAATCGAGGCCTCAACACCTTTCGCAGCCGGTGTAAAGATTTTGCTAACAGCACCATATTTTTCACCTTGTGGGTGAGGAAGGCTCAACTCAATGGCCAAAGGCATCAGAATACCATCATCTTTAAGGAGGAGAACGGTTCGAGTAGCATACAACTTTGCGCCAGTTGAGTTCATCCTTCTCAAGTAAGGCATCAATGAGTCATGGTAATCCAAAACGTAAAGCTTGTTCTGCTTCAAAGCCTACAAGAAAATCAAAAAAATTCCAGACAACCAAATTGCGACGACAATAACAGTGACAAAATAATGATTAGGGTTTCGAATACCTCGTCGATGGTGAGACCATTCATGTTGGGCTCAACATCATCTTCTCGGATAGAACTATGTTGATTTCCATATACATCCGGATCCAGCTTGCTCAACGGAGGAAATTCCTACATTTTTTGTTTACAAAATCTCAACAAAGAAAACATATCTAAAAAAGAAGAACAAAGAGAACAATGATAACTTATATATAAGACCTGGAGACGTCTGATGACAAGTGGATTGAGTCCAGCAATCATTTCTCGACCAAACTCTTCATCAGCCCTCCAAGCCGATCGACTCTCTAAAAGAATACCAAAACTATCACGAAGAGTTTGGTCGAGAAATGATTGCTGGACTCAATCCACTTGTCATCAGACGTCTCCAGGTCTTATATATAAGTTATCATTGTTCTCTTTGTTCTTCTTTTTTAGATATGTTTTCTTTGTTGAGATTTTGTAAA